CCTACACGGATCACTAAAGGTGACACCGAACGATGCAACACTACCACAACACACAACCCCAAGATAGTGCCAATTCGTGTGGTCATACATGAAGTAACGACCTATCACCAGGTAAATTTGCCTGCACTTTCGGATCTTGTTCAATTCAGTCCGTCTGATTTCCTCGAAAAAAGATTGAAAAGTAGAGTATTTTCTGTTCGCCTTTAAAATAATACTACGATGGGTGCCGTATTGGGTGCTTGTTCGGCAGCTTGTTGTGCAGCAAATCTTGCATGTTGCTGTGGTTCAGCTGCGTGTGGCTTGTGCTGCAAGTCTTGTCCAACATGCAGGAATTCGACGTCAACGAGAATTGTATACTCGTTGTTCCTTCTGTTTGGTCTAATTGCGTCATGTATCACTCTCATTCCTGGAATAAGAGAAAAACTGAATTCTATTCCCCACTTTTGTGAGGTAAGTTTAGGATCTAATCATTTTCTTAAAGCAAAAAGTGAACACAAAGGAAGCGTCGTGGACACAAATAAAATGCCAAAACGACATCCTCTTCCAACTGTAAAATCAGATTTTCTTAGTATTTAAATAACCAATATTCAACCAAAATACAGTACACGATAGTTAAGTTATTGCCGCTTTGATTTCTAGTCGAAGGCAGGCTTTTTTTCTCTTCGCGTTTTGGAAAAAATGAAATTAAAAGTGTTAACCACATTTCATCTTAATGTTGTTGTTGTTGTGGTTTAACTGAAAACAATATTTAAGCTGCCAATTTGCTTTTCGAATATTTTGCAAGTAATATAGAATTTACTGTTATTGCTTTATCATGTATTTTACATCCTTTATTTAGGAGGTGTTTTGTGTTTAATGACTGTGTTAATTGAAAGTAAATGGAAAAGTTGTATAATTGACTTACACAGACATCTCTCATTAGATTTTGCCAGTCATGGGTGAAATACAATCATGCTTCTAATATCGCATTATGTATCCTGTTTAATAGAAAACTGGTAGCACCTGTGATAATATTGTTGGATACCTGGCTGTCTACCGGATTGGACTGGGAATGGCAGCCTTCTTTTTGCTGTTTTGCATTATTATGTATGGAGTTTCCAACAGTAAGGACTGCCGAGCAGGTTTACATAATGGTTTTTGGGGGATCAAGATTCTCCTGTTCATTGGATTGATTGTTGGTGCTTTCTTCATCCCCAATGGACAATTCTCAGAAGGTTTGTCTGATTACTCCATATTAAAGAGTGTACTGAAGGCAACATGCTGAAGCTTGTGCAGAACTTTAGTAGCATCATATTCATTATATTATAGCATCTTAGTGGTGAGAGGGTTGTGACCTGGGCTTGATTCCAGCAGGGCTTGGTGTCATATGTAATTAATAGAGTTGCTTGTCGGGGTACCCTTGTCTGTTCTCTTCTATACATAGAGGCTTTTAAGTATAAATTGCATCAGTCAAAAGACTATCCAGCATTTGTATAAACCTACTAATGTTCTATCACCAATTCTGTGCTCTGTTTGGCTAAGTTACTATAGTGGTATATTAATGATCATTGGTTGTGGAGCACCCTAAAAGTGGAGAGGGTCTAAGATCGTGAAATATATGAGATTAGTTTGGGGAAACGTGGGAAGGGGGGGCTAAGATCGATTGGAAAATATAGAAATCTATTTTGTGAAAAGGGAAATAGTGGGGGGGGGGGAGGGAGTTGTAACCCCCCTGCCCCACCCCATCCACTGCCCCTGATGATGATAGCGAAAATTAGTTGTATGCATTTATTTGGCTGATTAGTAGGTTTAGACTGAAAACATCTGTCTACCACCGCATAGGCTATTGACTCATAGACCATTCGGGCTGTAGGTCTATTCGTTAATTATTCATTGTTTTTAATTGAACTTGGATGCATACTGTCAGCATTTTGAGGATTGAGAACCTGCTTTAGAACCATGTTGTATTTTATGGTGAGCATGCATGGATTACTTTATTAACTTGAGTCATGTTTGAAATTTAATCTTCACAGTTTGGATGTACGTTGGATTGGTTGGTGCATTTCTCTTCATAATCATCCAACTCATCTTGCTCGTTGACTTTGCTCACTCATGGAACAGCTCCTGGGTTGAAAAGATGGAGGAGTCAGGATCCAAAATCTGGGCAGTCCTTCTCCTGAGCTTCACCTTCTTGATGTATGGAATCTCCATTGCCGGAACTGTGTGCCTCTATGTTTACTTCACTGTTTCTGATGTATCATCCTGCCATACTAACAAGTTCTTTATCAGTTTTAACCTTATCCTATGTGTGGTGGCATCTGTTCTAGCTATTCACCCCAAGGTCCAAGAACAGCTCCCAACATCAGGTACAAAAGCTTATATATTTTATCATCTGATGTGCTTAAAAAAATGGCCAAACATCAGTCCCTAGTCATGATTACAGGGCAAAGTAGTTTTAGCTTAGTCATGCTTCATTCCTGGCTAAAGGTTATTGGTGAAAATGACTGGCAAGACATACTGTAGATTTAACCGGACAAGTCCCAGTTCTTGCAAGGCATTGTGCGATGTGAGGCCATTATTTTAAGCCCTCATCTGTTCTCATCAATCAAGCTGCCAATCCATCCATCTGTCCATCAATCTTCACACCCATTCATCCATACTTTCATCCCTCCAACAATCTATTTATCTGGATGTCTACAGATCCATACATCTCCCCACCCATTCATTTATCCCCTCCTCCCCATTCTTCCAATTATTATCCACCACTTCGTCTGTCTCCATCCTTTCGTCTGTCCACCTCTCTATTATTCCATCCATCAATTTGGTTACTTTAATTCATTTTTTCCCCATTGTTTCATATATTTATAGGTCTGTTACAGTCTTCTGTTGTAACCCTATATACAGTATTTTTGACATGGTCAGCCCTTTCCTATCAACCAGGTAGGCTCACTTTACACAAATAATACCAATCTAATGAGTCTGTGTAAAAATGGCTAACATATTTTTGCCTTATTATTGACAACTGAAACTTCACTTCAAATGTGGTGGTGATTGTCAACGTTGTTAGTTGTGGGTGATAAAAATCTGATCAACAAAACATCTTGAGTCCTGAACCTTTTTGTTATCATTTTATTTACCTCAGATAAAAACTGCAACTACATGTATTCAAGCCAAATCAAAGTGGGAGGACTTGACAGTCAAGCTGTCATTGGAGTCATCCTCATGTTCCTAATGGTCATCTATGCTAGTATTCGCACTTCCAGCAACTCACAGGTTGGACGGCTTGGCATGAACAAGAACAGAGGAAGCCCTGCAAACCTTGATACAGAGCAAACGGTCATAGATGGACCAGGAGAGACCAGAAGTGATGTTGGCCTGGTAGAACAAGGAGGAAGTGACCCAAAAGTATATGATGATGAAGAAAGTGGGGTGGCATATAGTTACTCCTTTTATCATTTCATGCTGTTCCTGGCAAGTCTGTACGTTATGATGACTCTGACAGACTGGTACAAGTAAGTGCATGTTTATTTATTATCTATGGGGTATTCCTACTAAACCTAGGGAGAACAAAAAACAAAAAGAAAGGCTCATAGATTAGAATAAAATCAGGTAGTATCCTCTTTTCCTGCTCCAAGATTTTGCCGCTGCTTTGTTTTTGGTTATTTTTAAAATAACAGGGTCTTAATTAATTTTAGAAAAAGTAGGAGAAGATCATCAACTGCCAGAGAAACATGGAGACCATGTGAACAGTTTACAATTATTACTAAGGGGAAGCATGGGTGGCATGCACTGCTAATGCGCAGCCTCTAACCAATATTACTAGGGTTCAAGCCCTGGCAGGATCGGTATCGTATGTGAGTTGAGTTGTTTGTTGGTTCCTTCCTGTGCTTCGAGGGTTTTTCCTCCTGGTTCTCCTCCCTCCACAAAAAGCAACTAGCTTCTATATCTAATTCAATCTATCAGCTGCTTTATCAATTGGAATGCAAACCTGTTAGGCAATAATTATAAACCGTCCACCCAGGAGTGGTAAACACATTAGATTTTTTTAAAGTTATTAATAGCGGTAGTTTAAGCCAGAGAATTTTGCTCAAGCGTAAACCAGAGCATTCTCCCTTCCCTGCCCTTAAATGAAAACCCTGGAAAAAATTTTATCCAATGTGTAGAGAGATTTAGCTAAATTTTAAACACAAGTTTATGGTTGTTTTGATAGGCCTGGCAAATCTGCCAGCTTCGATCAGCTAAGCTACAGTGAAGCAGCAGTATGGATCAAGATGGTGTCCAGTTGGCTGTGCTTATTGGTTTACACCTGGACTCTGATAGCACCAGCTCTCTTCCCAGACAGGGACTTCTCTTAAATATTACAACACCTTCCAGATGATGAGAAAATGGGAAAAGAGAAGAGGGATGTGAATGTGTTCTTTCCATATTTACTTGTTGGGACTAGCTTGAAAAAACACTGAACCTCCACACAGTGTGAACCAAGGAAATGAAAAAAGTTCAAACATTGGACCTACAGCACTTCTCTATCACACGTAAAATTGTACAATTTTCTGTCACAACAAAAAAAGAGCTTTGGTGGTTGTCAATCAAAGTGTTTCCATAGTTAACATTGTCGTAACATGCACCTATATGGACTGTTATGGAACTGCCTTGATTGGCATCCACCAAAACCCACTTCACAGTTAAAGACAATTGTACGATAGAGATATTGATATCTGTGTGGAAGGTTACAATTTGTAGTTTCAGAAAGTTAGAATCTAGTCATAAGTTTGATTATTGCATTTGGAGTTTTTGCCTTTTCATAAGCTTATTGTATTGGCATGAGCCATGTATTGTGCTGTTCATAGAATGTTTATTGTAGCTGACCAATAGGTTCTTGGCTAGTGCTCAGCTGCTGTCAGGGATATGAATTATAAAGAGATATTTGTCAAATATATTTTAGTGAATGTTATAGCTAATCTAGGTCACGTGTGACCAATAATTCCGAGAAGTCAAATGTAGATTTCAAGACTTCATATTTTAGTTTCAAATCTCCAATCAGCCGACTCTGATATTTCAAATACCATTCAGTAAAAAATTAAGTTTTGAACACGCAATCAGGAATGATTGTGAAATATTATCAAAAAAGAATTCACTTCAAAACCACATCACTGAGAATTAGCAACCACATGGCTGAGAATTAGCTTGAAATTTTGTATTTTTTAAGTTAAAAGTAATTGCATCGCCAGAGTCGAGTGTTGACAGAGCTGCTGAAAGTCCAATCAAAACGTTAGAAATACTGGTCCCATGTGATGTAGATTAACTGTAATTGCATAAGAAGAGATAACTAGCTAAAAACTAGAGTGAGCTGCGTCGGTGTTTCTAATGAAACAGTAATGATAAAAAGGTAAATTATACACCTTGAAAAAAATGAAAAAATTTACTGACATTTCGGACGCTAGTCCTTCATCGGAGTAAAAGCATATCTGCTAGCTAATTTAAACAAGTAGTGATATATATGTGTATGGCATGCACTCTAAGCCAATATATATCAAGATGATCTTTTTTATAAATAAACACTTGAAATTCATACTAATTTATTTTGTTAAGAATGATAATAATGTACATGTAGATTTATTAACAAAATATATAAACTAAAGATATTAGACTATCAGTATGTACATTATCATAATTAGAATAAAGATCATGAGAAATGCAAATATTTACAGTATCAATCTGAAGGTTCTTTAAAACTTTAAGAAATCTTAGAGCAAGTTGAAATTTTTATCATTATCTTTTTAAGTGTCTTCATCTTCTTTCATTCTACATTTTCCTATCTTGAGCTAATGAACCATTCCTTCCTTTCATTTTTTCCTTCGTTTAATAATAAGAATTTGATCAGAAAAATTGATATCACTGTTGATCATCAAGAAATGATTCCTCTGTTTCTTTAAGAACAGTCTTGAGATCTTGTAATTTACACTAAAATGAAAATAATTAGCAACAATGAGTGACTTGTGTTCCATAATCCCAAGAGGAAAATAATGTGGAAATATCCCCTACTCATTTTACACTAATACACAATTTGCTGTGACTAATAATTATTAACTTTGACTGTAATATGGAACCCTATAATGGACATAATTAACAGGATGACATGGATGGCTCTCAGGTCCAGGGTTTGAATCCCAGTAGCTGTGTGTTAGCTGAGTTGGTTGGTTCTATTCAATTTTTCCTCCCTCCCCTCAAACTGACTCTAACTAATTCAAACTGGTTACAGCTAAGCTCCAGGGACCTTAATACATTGACTGTATTGGGCTGCCAGAGGTACCTTCTCATTGCTTTCAGTTTGACCCCAATAAGCTGCACCTCTGCTGTACATGAGGAAGTTAATAGCAAAAAAAAATTTGTATGGAATTTTACTTGGCCAGTTACAGTGAAAACAAACGTACCTCTGGAAGAGGATAAGTTGTAGGGCTGGGGGCTCCCTCACGACCAAAATCTTCCATGCTTCCACATTTTGGGATATCTTCAACCCATACTCCTGAATAAACTTGTCCTTTGTCTAAGTAGAAGAAATTTCCTTTTCCATGCTTTTTCCCATTTTTCCATTCTCCTTCATAACGATTTTCATTTGCTAGGAATAAAATATCAAAGTAAGGCAAAAATACAATTTACAGTATTGAGCTCATTTGTAGGACATAAACACATGACTGTTACTGAATGGCAAAAAAATTCAAACTTGCCCAATTACTAATGCCATATCGTAAACCTTTTTCTAAATGCTTTTTTTCCTTTAAGGTACTTTTGATTTCAAGATACAAAGCAATTATTAAAGTTTGTACATGTACCATTCAGCAGAGCCATCCCCATGGGGACCTTTGGCTGAATTGATTTATAATCAAAATGATATATCAGCATGCCTTACTGTTTTTTTGCAAATGGCCTCTAGAGGTTTTGCACCATCAGGTGATGGCAGCCATGTTAGATGGCAGAAACAAATATATGATCGTTTAATTTACATGAGAATAAATTCAATTCCTAAGAGCAAAGGGATTTTATTGTTTCGCCATGCAACCACAGGCAGCCCAAGCTCCATTATGGGAGTGGGCATGTGATCCTAAACAGAATCATGTGAAACACAGGTAGCCCAATTCATACAATGCTTACCTAATCTTAACATTCCATCACCATTTCTCTTGTCATCATACCATTCACCTTCATAGACTGCTCCATCAGCATAATACATACGACCCCATCCACTGCGCTGATCTGCATACCACTCCCCTTCATAATACTCATTTGCTGAATAAAAATTTGTTCCATATCCCTAAGTGGAAAAATTGATGTTGGTTTTAAACTAGAAAATTAATCCAGAAGTAGACCCCTTTGCAGGCAGAGCCAGGAAACTCTTGTGTTTCATTGGCAATGAGCCCACCATAGAGTTATACACGCTAGAGAATGGACTTAGATAGAGTTGCCTGCAAAGGAGGCTGTGTCAGAAGGTCGTTATACCCATATTATTTTCATAATCCACAGTTGTTTTTTTTGGGAGGGGGGGAAGGGAGGGGGGAGAGGGTTGTTTACCAATCACACCATATTTGAACAACAGACATCTCGTTAACTTACGTGTCTTTTGTCATTTTTCCATCCGCCTGAATAGATTTTTCTAAACCCAGTGCCGTCTCGCACACTGTATGTCCCAAAGCCGCATCTTCTGTCATCTTTCCAATCGCCGTCATAGATTGTACGACTCTTCTTCCACTGCATTGTTCCTTTGCCTGCCACACAAGTCAAAGAAAGAAAAGACGATCAATAATCGTCCGAACCTAGCAAATTTTATAACATTTGGTGGACGATGAGTTATAAGCTCACCGTTCTTTTTGTTGTTGTTCCATTCTCCCGTGTACTGATCTCCATTTACCGAATAAACCGTATTATGTACGCCTTTCTTCTGCGCCTTGTAGTCCCACTCCTTCCAGAGAGGCTCAGTAGTCTTGGGATGCTTAGTTATCGGCATATTTAAAGCTATTTATCAAGTGCAGCAGCGATGAACTTCTGATCATCGAATCCAATGTTCACAAAAACATGGCTTACAACTTGGAGGAACTGTTGCTAGGTTACAGTAATCTCATACCCCAAGTGCATTCTGGGTGTTTATGAGCCTGCAGAATGATCAGCAGTTTTACATCGAAAAGTATGACGTATTATTTTCGTTTTCAAAATGGCGGACAGAGGTAACAAAAAATTTGACTTGTAAACGTTTTCTAAGAATGGACGAAGAAAAGGACCATCAAAATACAGAAAATGATCGAATTTGCTATGGTATAGTCGGAAACATTCTAACAGAGCTTCATTCAGCTGATGTTCGTGCGTTCTTTTCCCAGTTTGTGGAGGAGAAGGGGTTCTTGTGTTTTCATTATCGACACAGACCCGAAGTTCAAAAAGATGACAAGCAAAGAAATTCTACGCAGGACAAGAAGGAAATTCCAAATACTTGCTGTTGTATCGTAAAACTATACGAGGACAAAATGGACGGGTTTATTAAGGCGTATAATGGGGAAAACTGGGTTGATAAAACGGGAAAATTGTTCAGTCAAAAAGCTCGTATTTCAAAAATACGATTGAATTGCATCTTTGGTAAGTAAGCTAACAGCTGTAATGGAAAAGACTTTTATTCAATCCTTCTCTCATCTTTGTGTTTTTATGTTATGTTGCGATGCTTATTATTATTATTATTCTTTTCCAGATGATAGTGAAAGTCATTACCTAACAAAACAAGAAAAACTACAGAACACAAGAACCAGAGAAGAATTTGCACAAGATGACTTGAAAAGGCTCCCAGAACTTAACCCTCCATCTGTTATGCCAAATGGCAATGTTGGAACACCTTTGTGCGTTTTCATAGACCTAATTCGAAAATGCAAATTTCCTCCACACTTGATTAAGAAATTGGGATTGACTTTTCCAAGATGTAAGAAACGAAAATATGGGAATGTGCCATTTGATTATGGATATCTGGGAGGAAATGATGAACAAAATGATGACAATGATGAGAGAGTTGATTCTCGGCTATCTCATGAATCAACATTAGAAATACCAAAGACTACTGATGTTAAGGAAACTGGTGAAAAAAGTGTAGACAGCAAAAGGGAATTTAGATATGCTTGTGACATCAAAAACTCATCTGATTCAAGTGATTCCACACAAAGCACTAGTCATAACCAAAAATCAGACATTCTTCGAAAACCAAGTGAAATTTTAAACTGCAGTTATTCTACCAACAAAAAATCCAAGAGATCTTTTAAGGGGAATAATTCTCAACTGGATGAAAATACGAGCGAGAAAGATAGCTCTGATGGTGAACTTGAGGAATGGGACAGACATGAAGCTCTTCACAATGATGTGACAAGCCAAGAAAGGACTAAAGAAAGACTCTTTGAGGATTACATTGAACTGAAGTGGGAAAAGGGAGGAAGTGGTCTTGTGTGGTATACAGATGCAGCATTTTGGAAACAACAAGAGGAAGCTGATTTTGATGAAGAGACAGTGGATGACTGGGATGTTGATATGAGCATCTATGAGGAAGAAGGTGAATAATGTTTACATCCCTTTTGTTCTCTTTTTTTCCCTTTAGCAAAGGACTGCTGCACATATTTTCTTTGCACTCACTGTCCCAGTACTACTCTTCCCAGTCTAGACCGAGGCAGTTGTGCTTTTTTTATCGCGTTCTTAGCATCTTTTATGTGATCCAGGAGTACATTTCAAATCGGTCACGTGATGCCAATGTTTTACAACGTGGACAAGTTTTTTACACCACGTGATCAAAATTCAGTCAAGTTTTAATCACGTAGTGTAAAAACTTGTCCACATGGTGTTACATTGGCATCACGTTGTCAGTTTTAAATGTACTTCTGAATTACATAACAGACGCTACAAAGGCCTTTAAAAAATTCCAGCTGCCTCGGTCTACTGAGAAGAGTAGTAATACCCGTAAATGTTTTACCTCTGAATTTACTGTCCTGTTGCTACTCCGTGATGTTTCCTTGCTTTTCATACCCACCCCAGTTGGAAACCCGCCCCCCACCCCATGACTGTTAATATTGATAGTCATAGTTAACATTTTTCTATATACCTTCTAGATGGTGGTGACATGGATGCTAGAGCTTTGCTTCAGCTAAGATTAGAAGAACAATGGAGAAAAGGAAAAAATATTGATTTGAACAAAGTTGGAAGTTTTGAAAAACATACCAGAGGCATTGCAGGACAAGTCATGAGGAAGCAAGGCTGGAAAGAAGGACAAAGTCTAGGTTCTTCGCAGGTAGGGATAACAGAACCTATTCCTAGTGATGGCCAAAAGCCAAAAAGTAAAAGAGGACTGGGCTACTATGGAGAGAAACTAAAACGATTTCACAAGAGAGCAAGACCAACCAGAGAAGCAGTAATTTCTACTGTTTATGACGAGAAAGAAGAAAAAAGTGCAGAACTTTTTCAGTCTGAGGGTCCATATTCAATCAAATATAGAGACAGTATTGAATTTGTGCCTGAGAAAGAAACAGCTTCTACAAATAAAAAATAAGCATTTGTATAAGTGTTTGCCTACTAAATGTTAACAAAAATATTTTATGACAAATGTGTGGATCATGTATAAAAATAATTCTTGGTATCATATCATTTTACAGCCATTGTCTTAATCACATGTTATGTTTTCTTAATCACATGTTTATGTTGTGAGGAACAAGGTTTTGGTGGACGTCATTCACAAGGCATTTCCATAACATTGTCAGAAAACACAAAGCTATATGGGTATGTGCCTATAGAATGTCATGGAAATGCCTTGATTCACGTCCACCAAAAGCTTGTTTGCCGTGACAAAAACGATCACTAGAGCGGCATGTGTGATTGAGAATGGCTGTAATAATTAACACCTTAAAAGATCTCAAAAGATGTCCTTTTTATGGTTTACATGCTTGATGGTGGTTGCCAGAGCTGTCCAAACATCATGGTTTGTTAAATTTCACACATCATGTAAATAGTAAGAAAGCCTAAAATAGAAGTAATTATGTAATTATGTTGATTATTTATTATAAATGGATCTACTTTCACCCTTGTAAATAGGTGTACAATAAGATTTTTATACTAAATTTAACATTTTACAAAATGTATAAAAACAAAACATGAAATTTACATTAAAACTGAAAATTAATAGTTGATAAACAGTGTGCATACTAAAATATTTACAATAGTTGAGCTTATTTTGAATCTAACCCCAACATCTCAATTTAAATTGTAATTGTATGTACATATTTTTATTGTCAAGTACTATTTTAAGTGTGGTATTGGATAAGGCGTAAATGAATTTTGTGGAAATAAAAGTCACTTTACCTAGTCATAATACCGTGATGCTAAAATTGTGTGTTATGCAGCAAAAGTATTACATTTTTTTTTTATAAAATTAAATATCTGTGAAAAATCAATCAATAAAGGTACCAAAGCCTGGAACCCTTCCATTACTTTGGTCCATCACACATTAGTTTGCATTCAACACTCCTAAAATTATAATGAATCCTTTAGGGACCTAGATACATAATTGAATGAGAGATTTGAAAGTTTTCTGCTCTCTCCAAATCTTCACTATATCGTTTGTTTAATCTGTCAAATTGGTTGGCAAGTTTTTCAGCAAGGAGGGCTGCATTTTTATTTTGCTCCACCAGGTCTTCAACATCGTTTGCAGAGGCTGCAGCTGATTGTAGTTTTTCAAATTTTTCGATGTCAAGGGCCATTGCAATAAGGGCTTCACGATTTTCTCGTGTTCTCTGTGCACGCAGCTCCATTTTTTTCTGCAAGCAATTATTATAAGAAAGAAAGTTATCCTTTAGTAATATCAGTTTAGGGACTTGTTTATTACATAGTTAATATTAACTATAGTCATTAACTATGTTTATTATGTAGTAGAAGTTGGAGAGGGAGAGCATAGGTGAGACAATGGGGGGAAGTAGAGGTTCTTTTGTTCAGAATTGGGAGGTGAAGGTTCTAAAATTTCTTTAACCAATTTCTTGCCAACCCACCTGCAATGATGGTCCCTCGTGCATAGCCAAACAATGAGAGGAGGTAAGGATTAGAAGTTATACCACCAATGCAGTAGAAGAGGGGAGATGTTCTTATTCATCTTAATGATTCCCCTTCTCCTCACTTTTTCCTTTTACATTGGCACTGTTTCTTATATTTTCCAAAATTAGCCCCCCCTTTTCCCTTTCTCATACTAGTCCATTATCCCCCTTTTTTGGGGTGCTATGTGCCCTCATGAATACTAATTTGACCTTAAGTTCTTACATTTCTTCTTTCTTCTGCTCTCTGTTTTTCTTCAATCTCTTCTGCAGTAAGTGTCCTCTTTTTCTTTTGGTGTAGTTTGGGTGTTAGCTTAGGTTTGACTGGACTGTTTCCACTATCACAACTCACAGTAAAACTAACACTCGAGGGGTATTTCTTCTGTGAGCAGGAAACCCTCACGCTTTTATCCTGGTTTTCATCCTGACATTGTTTGTGCATTTTTTCTTTTCCTTTGTCTTTGACTGCCAAGTCATTTCCAAGCTGGATAGTAAGAGCTCTGAAGTTCTGTGAAACCAAATGTGCAGTTGCTAGTATTTCACTTGGTGTCATATGCTTCACTGCACCATCTGCCACGCCCTGAGCAAGTGCACGCTGTTGCAAAAGGGTGTCCACATTCTGAGCCAGTTTTCGGCAAGCTTCTTGTCTTTCACGTATCCTCTTGAGACGGTTTTCTTTGTAGTGCTAGAAAAAAATCTAAATTTTTAGCATTTCAAAACTTATTAGATTATACAGCATCAGTGGCTATCTCATAATGTAAAGGCAACTTTGATCAGCAGATATTCTTTTCCATCAGGGGGGAGGGGTCCATCAAATGAGGGGGGAGGAGAATGCGACAAAAAACTGCTAGATATCCTTCATACCTGCCTTCTCTCTTCTGCTAAAGCCTGTTTCTCGTTCAGATTATCAATACTTGTTTTACCACTTTTCTTTACATTGCATAATCTCTTAGGTGGTTGCCGTGATGGATGGCAGTTCTCAATTGGGATATTAAAGGCTAAGGGTTTACCACAATTCTCGTCTTTCTGGATTGCTTCTGTTACTGATACAGGTAAATTAGGATCTTTATCACTGTCCAGGCGTTTTCTTTTTTCTGACATCAGGTCCTGTCTCATTCCAATATCAACGTCCGTTAAAGCAGCGGATTGCTTCCCCTTTAAAAAACATATTGAATTCTTACTTATTTTCAAAATATTTTTTATCGATTTTTAAAATACTCAAAAATTAAAATCTTCTATTTCGAAGCACACCTAGTATTATGAACTTTGCACGCTGATATTGAATGATAATAAACAAGTAAAATATAMAATAAGTATTAGCTACCACAGTACCAATATCTGAAGTTCGCTATTTTCAGCATCGTTTGATCCGTCCTCAAGTCTAAGATTTTCAGTGAATTTAGCATCCAAGGCGCCTGCTTCTGAATCTGCACAAATACTAGAACTAGTTTTTTTTTCGTGTACGTTAAACAATTTTTCAGCCATCTTTAAAGCAAGTCTTCTTTGATCCTCAATCTTTTCAATGGAATCGTTTGGGCAAATATACAAGTTGGCGACTAGTTACATGCAACTTTAGTCTTCTCTAGAATATTTATTGATCTGTAAAGGTTTAAACTTTGTCCGTTATGCAAAGTTGTTTTTTATTTGAAAACAACAGTCTGGGATTGGATGTTGTCATGTTACGCAATGTTCTATTTTGGTGACTCGAATGGTTTACGAAGATCTTCCGAGTGATCTCCGAACGAAAAGCTAAGTTTGTGACCAAATGCGACAAAATGCATTAGGTTTGGGGCTGAAAAGTTTTTCATTACTTTGATGTATTTTCAGTGCGGCTCTAAGCCTGGTTAATGACTTTGCTGCAGTTGTCAAAAAATAATAAACCATCGCCAAGAATGAAATAATTAAGATTGTTTACGCAATCAAAGATGGCGGACGAAGACAAACATCACAAGACTATGTCTTGGAAATCTAGTCTATTTGGACACAAAGACGTAGATATTTTTAGAGATACACCTATTCGTTACTTAGGTGAGTAAAGCATTATAAATAGTTTGTTTCGCAACTGAAACAATGGCGATTTTACATGTTGAAATGATATTTTGGGAATATTTAATTCTCTCGGGAACTCTGTATTCTTTTCGACCCTAATAACGATATTTTTGTTTAGACCAGTTAGGCGATTCATGTCAGTGATGATATTTTGATTCAAACTTATTTGATGAGTCTGTACTCAGTAGCGAGCAACTCACTTTCGCGACAAATGTCACGCAATAGGATTTCTGACGACTCCCGTACGAATTATTCGCGATTATTGTTATTCGTACGGGAGTCTGTTCAGCGAATATTTATTAACATTTTAAACTCCCGTACGAATTATTCGCGGTTGTTATTCGTACGGAAGTCTGTTCAGCGAATATTTACCAACATTTTTCACTCCCGTACGAATAACCGCGAATAATTCGTACAGGAGTCGTCAGAAATTCTCTTGCGTGACATTTCCCGCCGTGACACTTACCCTCAGACTACATTCCAGACTACAATGTTCTACATGAGATGAGCAACTTTGCTTTGATTAAAAAAAAAATCTGATAAGAATAAAGGCATTTTATAAAAAATACATTGTTTCTTAAATTTTGTTTTGAAAAAATATGGCTGTACATTTTTTTATAGGGTATGCTAATGAGGTCGGAGAGGCATTCAAAACACATATTCCCAAGTCCCTGTACTATGGTAGTTATGTGGTTGCCTCATCGTACTGCCTAGCAGATGCCATCAGTAAAGGACGCAAAATATATGAGGTGAGAATATTTATAACAATAGAATAATAATAGAGATTGAGCTTATACAATTGTGTTTTTAGACTGATAACAAGTATATCAGGGGAGTAAAAACTAGATGATAAATACATGATTATTATATTTTGTATCTCTTTAGGAGGGGAGTGCATTGCCTATGGCTGTTAGAAGACGACGTACAATAGAAACAGCAGTAGAGGCTGGAGTATGGCAGGGTCTGGCATCAGTAATCATACCAGGGTTTACAATCAACAGAATTTGTGTGTCTTCAAGGTTCATCTTAAAACAAGTAGCACGATCTATGCCCTTGCATACCCAAACATGGTTGACTACTCTTGTGGGCTTATCTATGATTCCTGTCATCATCAAACCCATTGACAGGTATCGTATACTACAAGCTTTAACTTCTCTGTGATAAAGAATCATATGGCAACCTCCCAAAGTTTTATATATACAACCAAAGGCCATCAGGCTGAGCTCTGTTTTCAAACAAGGGCAAAGTTATTCCCCAACAGCAGTGTAGCTAGTCCAGTCGCATAACCGTTTTTAGCATGCTCCATTGAGCGGCTGGTTGCGGGGCAAAAAGGACCCTACAGTGTATCTGGACCAACTTTAGGATGGTATTACCCTGCGAGCAGAGGTTTTTTTACTGACCCTCCGTGGGCTGGCTGGTCGGGCCAGCCCACGGAGGGTCAGGAAAAAACCTCTGCTCACAGGGTAGGATGGTATACAAGTTTTAAATGGATTGCAATTAATATAACCTACTCATTTTTTGATCTACTCAAAATGTGCGAATGCATGCATATTTTTAGGTACTTGACTAATAAAATCATCAAGCAAGACATTTAAATTAATTATTATTTTCAATCTTTTTACAGGGGCGTTGACTACCTAATGGAAGGTGCATTGAACATGTTAAGAGAATTGGGTGTTGTATCTGAAAATGTTGACATTGAGTAATCAATTGATCATATTGACTACACGGCCAATCAGTCTTGAAATTCAGGCACATTTGTGGTCTAAATTATTATAGTGACAGAAATCAGGTTGATAAGACAACTGGAGTTTCTAACTACGTTGATATATCATATCAATAATATATTATAAAATTAATATGCTATAATATATTTTTCAGAGTCAAAAGATGTGTTTTTTATATCGGGTAGATTTTATGAATCTGATTCAGAGGCAGAAATTATTATTATTATCATAGTACATGTAAGTACTAGAGTACAAACACTATAAATTCGTAACGCAAATACCAGTAAAATACTGCTAAATAATGCTAATGCTATTGTTTTAACACTAATTACTACTAATTGTTGTACACTTTTAGTGTTTGTACTCTATCATATTTATATTCCAAATTATCAGCGAGGGGTTATGTTTATTTTTAACACCCGGATTACTGAAAGGGCAACTTACCCCCCAAAATGACCCATTTTTAAGAGAAAGTACATCAATTGAGAAACACAAAAATTTAATTTTTAGAGGGGATAGAGCATCCGTGTTCCTAAAAAAATAATTTCAAAACATCGCATATATCGCTCTGGTGGCCACCATCTTTGAGCCCGCGATAAATTACCGCATTCAGGTGTGACGTCACAACGTCAACGTGTGTTTGGATATGTAGAG